GGAGCTTTCAGTGTGCTTACGTCAGCAAGTTGCACTCCCCTAAGCATGACATCGGATTTTTATTTTCTTTGTCCCTTTTACCTTCGAAACAATAAGCAGAAACCTTCTTTAAGACTGATTTACATTTGATCTTCCATCTTGAATACTCTGCTTGCACTCGGGGCTCTGAAGGTTGGGGGAGCAAACTTACCGTTGGGGGGGGAGGGGCAAATGGGGCATGGGGCCCAGCGGCCCACCCAAAATAATGTAAATCGACGCTCGTGGGTTTCTCCGTCGCCCAGCGCGTCCGGCCGCCCCCTCCCCAAGCCCCCCCCCCCCCCCCCCAGAGTCGAGCGTCTGGCGCGGACTGAAGTGGCGCGCTCGGGGGAAGGGGAGGGGCAGTCGCTGGCTAACACGCTTCATGACTTAAGAAGATCTGCTGTAAAAAAGGACAATTACCTTACATCGAGGTGTGTAAAAAGGCCGCCAGATGCGCTTCTCGTGTTCTGTCTGGTTGCCGCAAGTTTGTGTCCGGGTTTTACTCGGATGAGAGCATGTCTGACCCTGAGCATGGTGGTGAAGTGGTCCTGATACTGCTGGTGGCGAGCGCCAGGCGGCGCCAGCGCAGCTGCTGCTCTCCTGTGGTCTTATGTGCGCTGCTTGTGACGAGCTGGTCGACAGCTGGTCGACAGCTGGCAGTGCCGTTTCTGACTGCCCAGACTGATAAAATTCCCTGATAGCTCGTTCGCTCAAAAGGTGCATAGGGCTTTATCAATTTTGAAATCAGTGCTGATTGTTTTTTTCTGGATGAAACCAGCTGGTATTTGTCGGCACTGTGGTTCCTTTCTTTGTTGGTGTCATTCGCTAAACGGTCTGAGCTGGTTTACATATCCATTATTGTGGCGATGCTCTCCGCGTTCTTATATTGCACCAATGTTCATACCGTGGACGCTTGGGGTTTTCACACCTTCGTTAACGGCTATCTTCGAGTCAGGATTGCACGTAAATGATCCTTAGGGGTTTTTAAGCCAAGCATTTTTCTATAAAAGATTTTTGCATTTTTGGGCAAAAGTGAATGTTCTTGTCATGGCAAGCATTTTTGCTTCCTATGAAAAGAAAAGCTTTCGTCACTGAGCACTTTTTAATGAATTTTCTTTTCATGGCAAGCCCAGTGGTCATTTAAGGATCTTCATTCTTAATTAGCATCGCTTCATTCTTATCACTGCTCCGTAGTAGCTACGCACGCCGGTGCAGTCAGCCCGGTGGTTTTAAAATGGCCTATCCAGGCAAGCATCGCTCCGTGATCTTCCTCACGCAAACTCGACCCCAAAGGCCACATCCTTTGTAAGTAACTGGCGTGAAAAGGGACTCACCATTACTTTTTCATCCCTGCGGTTTCAGTATCGGCAGCTGCCCCTTGCCCTCTCCCTGCGCGCCGCCCCATACCGCGTCAAACACCCGACCCTAGGGGGGGGGGGGGGCTTTGGGGAGCGGTGGCCGAGCGCTGCGTTTTCAGGCCCGATTCGGCGCCCGCTGGATGAGTCGGTATGAAAAGTTCTATACGTTTCGCGTGGCTGGAAAGGGATGCAGCATGGATTATCCAAACATCGTGATGATTTTAAATTCAAAACGGTCATTATTTTTACATCTTGATTTCAGAAAAGGTTAACAAGAAATGTACATAATTTTTACGGATTTTTTGGTTTGTTTAATCTACTATTTAGGTGCGTGGTACATACTTCTCTGGGCAATGTTGTTGAAAATTGGCTTTTTCAAAACATCAAAAATGGGAAAACGTCTACAATTTCAAAATGGTGACTCAAAATGCTGCATTTCTCTCAAATTTGTGTTAAGAGCTAGGTAAAATGCTGTAGACAAAATTTCGTCGAAATCCAGGACCGTTGGGTATCAAAAGTGGCCCTTTAATAGGTGAGTTGGCGTGAAATGACCCAGTATACGGCCCGTCCTGAGATGAAGTTGGAGAATACGATGTAGATCTGTTGGTGTGTGTCCAACTTAATGCATATGCAAGATGTATACAAGCAGGGCCTTTGGGTACCTTTGCAGCTAAACGGTTGCGGTATCTACAGTATGTAGCCTATGTGGACTAATGAAAGGTCCAAAACTGATCCGCTTCAAACTTGGCTGGTATTAGTAAAAGTAAGGCCATGTTTAGGTGTATACAGCCTTGGTACAGGAAAGAAGCGGTAATCTGGAAACATACCGAAGGCACACAAAAGCCACTGTACCACAGGTAAGGTGTAGGCCGGGCAAACTGAAACGGTGCACACATTGGGAACGTCCTGTGGGATGTTAATGCTAAACCTGCCTTTAAATGTTCCTTTGATGAATTCGTCCACATGTGCCACCTTTGAATCATTTTTTTTCCTTTGCAGTACCATTTCCCACTAGCCTGGTCAGAAACTAGGTGATACTGAAAATTCGGGCACAACTCAGAGTTTCTTTTAAATTCCGAGCAATGAATGCATGACAGCACATGTTGAAGATCTCCCTTTGCCCTTTGTACCAGCATCAGAAGACAGGAATCTCATTTGGTCCCAACTTGAACCGTACAAAAACCGGAATAAACAGGGCCGAACCCCATCATTTGTCGACAGGTTTTTAAAAGTAGTCAGTAAATGTTAGTTCGAAGGCGATACAAAAGTCGCACTCTATGTTTCAAGCAGCAAGTGCCCACGTCATAGCACTACATTACCGGATATGAGTCCAAAACCGGTCTGCAGCCCAGACCAAGCATTGAGCATATAAAGTGCAGCCCGTGGCTTTGACTCTACTGAAGTCCACGTAAGACACATTCACGCGGTCCTCGAACTGAATATTAAAGAGCATGTTTCTGTATGTAAACGTTCTCGACGAGTCTTGCTTGTAAATCGTTCTGAAATGTTGCTGCCGATCAGTTGCATCTCCTCAAGTCGCATGCTTTTCGAGCCAGATTGCAAATACACCTGCCATGGATCTCTAAAAAGTATGTACCCAGCACAACCGTAACAGCTGATTAATCGCAATTCCAGCAGCCTACGCGGTCATCTCTACTCAACACACATTGCGCACAGTGTTTTGTGTATTACTACAGCTCTTCTCTACCACAACAAACGAAATAAATACACTTATCCACAAATATGGGACATCACACATGCGAGCGTTTCCATGACACGGCAACCCCAAGCCGACGGTCCTCGTTACCGGTAGGCGCCCGGTGCGCCTGGTCCGACATCCGCTCGCTGTGCGGAGGAACCTGGTCCGCCCCGAGCTGAGACCCGATGGCTGGCACATAGCGCCGGCGGTTCAAGTTTTTTAATGGCAGACGCTGGTGGGTGGAGCAGGCTCCGAACAGCTGTGGATGGCTGTAACTCACTCCCGGCCTGACTCAGTGTCGAGCGCCCCATTTAGCACTCGCGGCGTCCCGTAACCTTGGCTAGCAGTCTGCCTGTACCGGTGGCATGACAGGTCTTCAATCCCTCCGCGCAGTTCTCCTTCTGGTGCCCGTAACATGGCTCCAAGCTTTGGCCGCTGACGAGCACCCGGCTCCAGCTCAAGTGTCTGCCTGTGACGACAGCTGACGACACAGCGCTCAGCGCGGGTCATCGAGACGCCGGTGCTCTGGCGACAGCTGACGGCACATCGCCCAGCGCGAGTCACCGAGACCCCGGTGCTCTGGCGACAGCTGGCGACACAGCGCCCAGCGCGAGTCACCGAGACCCCGGTGCTCTGGCGACAGCTGGCGACACAGCGCCCAGCGCGGGTCACCGAAACGCTGGTGCTCTGACGACACCTGACGACACAGCGCCCGGCGTAGGCTACCGAGACGTTGGTGCTCTGAAGACACCTGACGACACAGCGCCCGGCGTAGGCTACCGAGACGTTGGTGCTCTGAAGACACCTGACGACACAGCGCCCGGCGTAGGCTACCGAGACGCTGGTGCTCTGAAGACAGCCGACGACACAGCGCCCAGCGCGAGTCACCGAGACGCCGGTGCTCTGACGACAGCCGACGAGACGACGCCAGCGCGGCGCGCAGAGCGCAGCTTCTGACGCCGCGCTGTCGAGCGTCTGCTGGCCTCGTCTGCCGCGGCCAGCGCCAGGCCGTCTAATCAGCACGACCAAACGTGGCGTTCCACGGACCTGTCCGCTCCGCTCCGAGGACTCTCCGCCGCGCCGCTGGCAGAGCATCACGGGTTGGGCGGCTGTGAGCCGGCCGGCTCCATAAATTCACGCAAACGGCGGGTAATCGGCCGCTGTTCTGAGATCTGCCTCGGGCGCCACCGAGTGACGCCGATGAGGTGTAGATGACCGGTGGCGCCGCGCCGGGCGTGCCTCTGAGAAGCGCCCCGCCGCCCCTGACACTGTCTGGGTGCGGAGTGACCTACGCGCCACCTGTTGTCGTCCATCCGTCTCGCCCGTGTCACGGAACGTGAGAAGGCAGGATGCTAACCAGCGTAGCCTGACCCGCGGCAGAGATGAGCAGCACCAATGGGTTCAGCGTACTGGCGACCTCAGGTAACGTTTGCTTGAGCGACACCGCCGGTCCGTCTCTCCGACCAGGTGTTGCCTTCGCAAACCAATTACCCGCGCGCGACTGGACCTGACCGAGGGACGTCGATCGTGACATCCAACTTCGCCACTGAGCGAACGGTGCAATCTTGAGAACCCACCCCCAGCGCACGAGAACGTGGACACCGACCATGAATTCAACAACACGGGATCGGCGGCTCACAAAATTCCAAACACACGCCAGCCAGTCGAGATCCCTCCTCGCAGCGAGTACACTAACGCACGGGGAGCTGCACGAGCGGTGCGGGACGCCGGCCGCCTATCGGCGGGCGACCCAGGATTGCGACGACACTAGCGCCATCTCTGGTCGACCCCGGAGCTTGTTGTCGCTGAGCGGCGCTTCAGCGGGACGCCTCGGGCGTGGAGAGGTCGACTCCGATCACGCAGCCACGCGTGGAGCGCAGCAGGCGCCGCAGCCGCTGCTGGTACTGCTCCACGAGCACGCGTGACGGCCCGTGGCGCACGTGCTTCACGTGGCACGCGCCGTGCTGCATGCCCGACATGCAGTCCAGGAACTCCTGTCGGCACGGTCGATGTCGGTTGTGCGCGATCATGACGGGGGTCGGGGGAGGAGGTGCGGTAGTCTGGTCTCGGGACGCGCAGACGGTAAGGATGGACCGGGGCATGGAACCAGTCTCGAGCTGCCATTTTTGACGTGTGGGTGCACCAACGTAGTCGGTGTTGGACACTGGTCATCTGCAGGTGTATGGCATTTCAATTTTGATCGCCGTATCCCGGGGCAGGCAATAATTTGGAAGGTAACGCTGGCGTCATGAAAGGGAACATCATCGCACGCATGCATCGCCGTTGGGGACCGGTGGGCCGACGCGAAATATTTGACCCGCCATTTATCGTCGGCAGCATCTGACAAAATTAACGTACTCATTGTGCTATCAGTGGTAATTGAAAGCCGAGGAATTCATCACGTGTGCTTACGCACGTCGGATATAATTGAATTGCCACCTAATTCTGAAGGCAAAATTAAGCAGCAAGACACCATGCACAGCTGCATGCGTTGTGAAGATGCATTTAATGGGTTACATCGTTATAACGTGCATTTACCTCTTTGGTCGAGCACCTGTTGTCAAATCCAGAATCTGAGGAGAACTGGGCGATGAGACGATTTCCGCATCTTCGCAAAGCCTTGAACAGGCAGATTTCTGCGATAGGTCACATGGTCAGGTTAAGGTTATATTTTAGAATAGAAGCCACGGGTTATATTCGTGGCAATCGCAATGAACGTTGCGGGATTAGGTAGAACAATATTAAGGGGAATGTTCCAGGTTCAAATAATTTGAAGCAGCCGTATTATGAAATAAGCTAAAATGGTAACCGATGGTAAAGTTCATATGATTTAAGTTGAAAAGTCTGCTCTAGACAACACAGCTCGATTTATTTTAATTATACGTTCAACACATTCAGTCAATAGGTTCCTCAATATGTCATTGTTTGATTGCGCAATGGAACATTTGCATGGAGTTGAGGTGCTGCCAAACTAGCCGTACAAAATGGCCACCGTGGCATTCATTTGCAGTACTTCAAACTCGCTAATAGACTGTAGCACGGCGCTGGAAGCGTTTGCAGGGCGAAATATCGTTGTGTGCTCCCTTTTGGCTCTTTCTCGTGGTGTCCTTGCATATTTGTCCGTGAGTTTAAGAAGTTTACCTGCATTCACATCTTCGGTTGTGGGGCTATTCTTATGGTATTCGATTACGAGTAGCATTTCCGTTATAACTAGTCACGATGTTCAAGTTCTCATCTTAGGTACCTAACAACGTCATTCGTGATTGAGACTTGCACAGCTTGTTCAACATTGGTCGAGTGTCAAATGACGTCCCACGTACTTGGAAATCGTGCTCACGGACTCCAGATCTCAACAGCTTGACGATGTTGTTCTTCCCGGGCTTCAACGTCGCATGGCCCATGAGGTGTTAGGTTTGGAATGACGTTGCTATCGCGTCATGGATGCCCGAATGGCTTTGAAATAGCCTGTACGGAATAGTCTGCACATCATCGCGGGCGTGTGGCTCAGAGGCTAGAGGGCTTTATGTCCTAAGAATTGCAGGGTTGTGACCATAACGAATGATTTTCAAAGTTGCAATTTCAGTTAAAACCCCCTATACAAATGTGGAACACTCTATTTAAGCTCATTAGCATTCATACCCGATCGTGGGGCTGTCCATTGCTGGTCAAAAAATTACATCTGGTGTTTACATAAGAAAACAAAACCCAATAACTTCCCAGAGTATGTTACATGTCATATATATATATATATATATATATATATATATATATATATATATGCATTGCAGTTTTACTAAAAACCCTTCAGTAATACGCGTATGATGAATCATTGTTTAATATTTGTGCTGTGGACTATAATCCATAATGCGAATGGTTGTAATGCGTGGCAAACAAAGCAGATATGTAGGTACATGGTATAACGTATTATATATGTTTGCATTATTGTAGGTGGCACAACTATGCGGTAATATGCTAGGCATTATTACTACCAACGTTTATGCAAGGTAAGTTAGAGAGGAGAGAGAGAGAGAGAAGAGAGAGAGAGAGAGAGAGAGAGAGAGAGAGAGAGAGAGAGAGAGAGAGAGAGAGAGAGAGAGAGAGAGAGAGAGAGAGAGAGAGAGAGAGAGAGAGAGAAGAGAGAGAGAGAGAGAGAGAGAGAGAGAGAGAGAGAGAGGAGAGAAGAGAGAAGAAGAGAGAGAGAGAAGAGAGAGAGAGAGAGAGAGAAGAGAGAGAGAGAGAGAGAGAGAGAGAGGAGAGAGAGAGAGAGAGAGAGAGAGAGAGAGAGAGAGAGAGAGAGAGAGAGAGATGAGAGAGAGAGAGAGAGAGAGAAGAGACAAGAAAAGAGAGAAGAGAGAGAGAGAGAGAGAGAAGAGGAGAAGGAAGGAAAGAGGAGAGAGAAGAGAGAAGAGAGATGAAGAAGATAGAGGAGAGAGAGAGAGAAGAGAGAGAGTAGAAGAGAGAGAGATATATTATATATAATATATATGTATTATATATATTATAGTATAGAGATATCATTATATGATATATATATATATATATATACACATATATGTACATAATATCTGTTCTTTTCTGTCCGATTTAGTTGGTGTTTTTAAATCAGTCCTTTTGACACCTGCCTCTCAAGTCATACCATTTCTGTTGTTTAGACGCTTCTTCTTCATCATCGTCTTGTGATGTATGTGCTGAAGATGCAGCAGATGTTTGAGATTGGCGTTTTTCCCAGAGAGGAGGTCTTTTGAGGTGCCATAGTCTCGATATGCTGGGCTGTATCGGTCGTCATCGAACTTATCACTGTAATAAAAACATCAGCATCAGTGGCATGAGGCATTGGCTCATGGGCGTTAACGCATTTGAGAGATAGCGGGAAGGTCTGAACCTGGATAGCACATTCTGGTTCAAAATGATGTGTTAATGTGTGGAAAACTGCAAACATGTCTGTGTTTTCGTGAGAATATGGGAGGCAAAAGACTGTTTTAGTAAAATAGCCGCTTGCTCTCTAGCCGTCATTAGTGGGAAATTAGAACTTGGGGCATCCGCATAATCACTATCATTAACATCATCACGACACAGACGGCTGTCAAGACTTGTCAAGACAAGACAAGGGACTGGACGAAACAAGATGACGAGACCCAAAGTAACAAAATTTCATTAAATGGCAAATGCATGGCTGTGCAGCACGGTGGTACTTCACGCGATAACCTTCACGCTGGTGCCTCTTACGGACTCGGTGGCTCTTCCGTATTTCATCCAATTTTGGGAATCGTCAAGCTGTGGCAGTTTTCATTCCATAAAAGGGTGTTGTGCAATAGTCTTTGAAATTATAGGAACACAAATTACAACGAAACCAATCCTTCACGAGGTCTCAACACAGGCTGAACGAGATACGTATCGGCCTCCACTTCCTAGCTAATTTCTTTTATCTCTAAGGAAATATCCCGATCTCCATCCTGATGCCTGCCATCCTGCAAAACAAATTAACCAATAGCTGTGTTCAAACGTTGCTGAAGAGTGTTCTTGCACAATGTGACCCCGCGCTTCCACGACGTTCCGCATATCGTAGCCTCGAGACATAAGTAACCACTTGTTTGCTCACCTGCTTCCTTTTGTCTGCATGATTTTGTGACGCGGAAATATCCTCCCATAGCCGCATCAGTTCTAGACGGAGCCAGAATGTAGGGCAATTTGTTTTGACTGAGATATCTTACACGTCGCCAACGTGTTATCCTCAAATCACCGTTTCACAACGAACTTTTTTTGTTCCCGATGCCCTTGAAATCATTGGAATATAACGGACGTTAAACAGAATGCTTCGCTGCCAGAACCAGTTTGCTTTCGCCGACAGCGCCGTACTTTTTTAATACAGTGTTTTGTGGTACGCAAAATATGTGCATTATATATATATATATATATATATACATATATATATATATATATATATATATATATATATGTATGTATGTATGTACCTATATATACATACATATTTATATAAACACATATATACATATACGTTATACATGCGAGCATAATTACCCGCAGGTTCACTGACCCCTTCCCGCTGGCGAAGCATTGGACCTGAGTTGGGGTTCTCGGGTCTGCACTCTTATCCCTGAGTCATAAGTACCCTGGCCGCAAACGAGAGTTACACGCAAGTAGTCTACCGTTTCACGTGGCGGATAATGTTCTTAGCTTCTCCAAGACAATTTTACTGGTCGATTCACTTAGGTCACTGAAATGCAACGGCTCACAGCCTATCACTGTTGCAAGACGTGCCCAAATATTACGTGGTCTGAAAAAAACCGATGAAATGCTGCGCATGTACTCAGTTCCCGCCAAAACAGGCCTCAGAAATACAAAACTGTCGGCGGAAGGCAGCCCCCTCTCCCGCCAATCATGTTTTCAACAAGCGTCACCGCAACCTCTGCTCGATCGGTGCGTACAGAACACCGAGGCCGCTCTCTCGCGAGTAACGCAGCCCACCGTACCGCGAGCGTCCCGCCGCGTCACGAGCCGCTGCTGTGCCGTCACGTCACACGGTTACCTGTCGCGCTGGGTGCGCTCGTGTCTGAGCACGTTGGCCAGGCTGGTGATGCGACGGCCCTGACCCCTGAGACGGCGGTGCCAGGAGCCGTCGGCGGCGCGCAGACACAGCAGCAGCGCCAGCAGCAGAACGGACCGGCCTGAGGCGCGCATGGTCTGCGGAGGGGAGACGCGCTGAGTCAGCGGAGCAGGGCCCCGGTCGGGCAGCACGCGCAGACTAGGGGAAGCCCTCAGGTCAGCAGGGGCCGCGCGTCACACGGCTGCCGTGGACTCGGGTCAGGCAGCATGTTTAGCGCAGGCTGCACAGATCATGGTACAGGCAGCAGCGAGACGAAGATCTTTGGAGCGGTGTCTTGGCTCGTTCGCTTAGTTGGTCAGCATCTTCCTTAGTTACTTCGAGCCATTCGAGACATCCAGAAAAAAGCCGCTTGTGGAAACGGAAGGCGTTCCGTTTAAAGTTTGAGCCTCATTTGCTGGTTACAAGTTCCCAGCAGCATGCAAGCGAGCAACAGTGGCATTTGCATGATGCTGTGATTAGACGCCTTCCCTGCGCCGCTTTAAACGTTCTCTCACGTTCTCTTGTTTGATCGTTGATAGATGCTTGGCATGCCCAGCTTGAGCACATTATTTGTCTCTCTTTTTCCAGCGCTCGATTTTCATTGTTTTTCTTCCGATGCTGGAAGAGGCACAAACAACCATTTGACTAATGTGGTGTGTGGGGAATCGACAAAGTACATAAGTGGTTTGCAAACCCGGTACAGTTTCTCCCATTGGGTCACCTCAGTCATCTCAGATGATGCGACACGAAGGAATAAACGTAACAAACCCTCTTGCATTTCATGGTCGTTAAGTGACACTAAGCGACTAATCACGAGACGAAAGTAACGATGCCTCAAAAGGACAGCGCTCGTTAATCTCCTTGAAAGTTTCCTGGTAACTCGCCCCCGTGTTGTTGGCCGCTTGTTGCGTCAAGCCATGGACTCAGTGGCTGCTCAAGTCGGCCCCACCATGACTTATAATTAGCAATAACGACATTAGTGTATTAATGTTATGGTGCCGGAAGCAATACACGTAATAGCGCATCTGGCAGCAAAAAATAAAAGCACGACAGAATTTACTAGGTCCAAATGGGTGAAAATATTTTCCTGCCTAAACGTTCGGCTAAGTCCGATTTGCATGCGACGAATTTCGCTTGACATTCTTCCGCGCGAAGAATCAAGCATCCCTGATATCTTAGAAACTGCCGAGCCGGTTTCTGGTGGAGGTATTAAACGTACGCCCGTAGTCGAAACCACCTTTTCTTTCCGAAACCGTTATCATACGGCGTCAGTGTGGCACTCAAGAGGTCAAGAAGCCCTGAAATTTAAACTGATCTTTCTCCACAGAACCAAGCATCTCATACTCCCGCATTCCTTTCCACTTCAATGCCACGATTACGATCCGCCCAAAAGTGTATGTGTACTGCGCGGTCTAATTTGGAGTCAGCGTTGGATGCAGAGTCCTCAAAATTATGCGTTAATAAAATGAGATGTTAGTGAGTAAATCGTTGCAATGCAAATTTTCCCAGCAACAAGCTCTGCTTAGCTGGGTGGACTCCCTGGACATCCAGCTCAAAACCTAGCACAAAAATGACCAGGTAATTGCCCCCTCCGACTTGTGACTGTATAGCCCTTACTAACACGGGGAATTGAGTGGTTGTAGATTATTGGGCGGTTGTAGCGGGCTGTCATTAGCTGACTTTGGCTAATGACTACTTTAAGCCTTTTCATCTATGATTTTTCCCTACCTATCACATAACACAATTCCTTCGGGTCTGCTCCACCTCTTCGCCTGTTTTTTTTTACGTTTGTTTCATCTTCCTAGCTGGGAGTGCCGCAACTTGATTTTATGTTTTCTGGTGTTAACGTACGGTTTACTGCGTCGCTGGGATTGAGGGAGGGGCACTCCTGGTTACCTGTTCTTGGGTAACGGCGTAGAAAAAAAAAATGCAAATCAGTGTTTGTTGTCCAGCCTCACACTGTGATAGGTGAATGTGAGTCCAGTCCTGGAAAAGGCTCGGATCAGTGGCGGATGAAGAATATACAAAATGGGGAGATGGGAGGAAAATATCATTAGCGCAGTCCTTAGATGCGTATAAATCATAAACGCTACCTCTTTTTTTAATATGTGTTGCACTGCCACCGGCTCTGCCGCTTGATTCAGTCGTCTCTGCAACTTTTGACCTCTGTCGCGATGCCGTAGCCGCTTTGTTATCAACAAATAACCTGTTCAAAACTTTCCTGATACGTATCTAAGCATGAATGTATGAGTTCTATTATAGCATATCTGCCCCTACCCTTGTCACATATAGCCCTTACCCTGGCACGTATAGCCCAGTGCTGTCACATATAGTCCCTGCCCTGTCGCATATATCCACTGCTCTGTCATATATAGTCCCTGTCCCCGTCACATTTTTTACACTTATGCCATGTTTTTGCAGTCGGCACCGAGCACTAGGGTAGGAATAAGGTAGCAGCCATTACATGGACAGACTGATTTCGGTACCGAAAACAACGTCGATTCATAATGGCCATGTATCCCTTCCACTCCTTTCCACTCAGCATATGACAATGCAGTCTTCAGCAAGTACGCTGGATGATTGTTCGTAGAAGATTCGATTATACAAGATTTCCTATCGAGTATAGGGTTTCCTCGGTGAGAAATGACCTGTCATTGCATGCCTCTGAAAGCCCGCATTCTCCTCAGCAAAGTAGGGTACAAATTTGCGTCAGGATTCAGTTGATGCCGAATTGGTGGTCGAGAAAAGTCAACAGATTTCAACACTGCAGCCGGAATGGCTTGGGGTGGCGTGAGGAAAGCCAGAATCGGGCCGAATCGGGGCCCACGCAAAAAAAAGGCCAAGCTTACTACCCAATCAGTTCAGAGCCCTGCTACAAGCCTAAAAAACAAGCTTGCATTCACACACAAAAGTTTGCAGTGCAAGTTTGCATTAGGTGAGAATGGGCACAGCAATGCCCATATACGTGCCTGCGATCACAAAACAGCGACGCAGCCTCTGCAACCTGTAACGGCCACGAGCACCGCCGCGGTCGGCGTAGTTCCCGTACTTCCCAGGTTCGAGTGGAGGTATTGCCCGCCCTCACCCAGGGGCGGACTCAGCACCGGATCTTGGGAGGTACCAACGTCCGGTTGGGTGGCCAGACTCCAAGTCTGGTACCAGCCACACTAAAATCAAGC